TGGAGTGAAATTATTAAATCATCTCAGAATAAATGCATCTTTTGAATTTGCACAATTGTTGATGATTTTAAATTCATTAACTCATCATCTACATGTACTTGAACTAGAAGGGTAGTATGCAACTCTTAGCAGTCTCTTACAAAGATACATTTAACATATTTTTGCATTCACTAGATGACTCTGTTTACTTCATCTGCAAAATATGGTAAATTCATTTGTATGCATGTACAATTGTTGATCAACTATTGTTGAAACATAGCCAAGTATGCATTTCATCTCTTAAATGTACTCATAAGCTTTGTAACTTTTGATATGAGGAAGCATTTTTTTAGCAACAGAGTCATGGTTTTGTCGAACAGTCCAGATTCCTGAATATATTATCACAGTAACTTCTGTAAACTTTTTTAAGAATAGACTAGACGAATACTGGTCTAAAAACCATGGTCTTGTTTATGAGCCTGTAGAGAGCTATTATTTCAAGCTTGCACACATTTTTGTCCTTCCCCACTTACATGTATTTGATTTGTAATTATGACAAGGATAACATATTGAACCACTGAAAGAGACATATCTACGATCAGGCATAGCATCTCTGGGTTAAAGTAAAGTAAAGTAGAGTAAAGTAAAGTAAAGTAAAGTAACTTGGTGTTTTTAGATTGAAACTCATTACCCTCTACCCACCAAGGTTCATTTGAGATCACTGTCTCACCGATCATGCGGTCTTACTATTATGTTAAAATAATGTATTAAAAGTCATACATCCCCTTCCTCATCACAATGTGCCTCTGGCCACAATTTCACAGTCTAATTGTCATTCCTTTTGTCATCTCAAATTTTAATCCATTCCATATCCGTCCGACATTCATCATTACTCTGAAGTTTGTGAAGAAATCTACCATCACACACCCATGATCTAAAGTAAAACATATGCTTGAATGAGCTTTTTGGGTCGTCTTCTTTGCTATAATACGAAGAAATATTGTGCAATCCTTTGTACCTGTTAAAATGCAAATACATGTAGGTGGCCTATTATACCTGTCATGTAGAATTGAATCCAGCTATTTGATATACATACTGTACGTACTGTATGGGTTGTAGAGAACACATTTATGTTCATAAAATACATGTTGTCACATATAGTGGCAAGGGACATCAATTGTACAGGATATCTACAAGTAAACCAACTATCAAAATAATGTTTGGATTAGTAATTTAAGTAATCTTTTTGTGCTGCAAGTTTCCTTCATTTTTGTGATTTAAAAATATTAAAAAATCCACCAGAGCTCATTTGAAGTAAATATTCAGAATTTAATATACCAGTAGAACTTAATATTGCTGACCAGTTCTCAATTTTAACCTACATGTACATGTACAGTGTACCTGTATTTTGGTCCATGAAATCATTGCTGTGATTGTTCCAAATCCTTCAGTTTAAAGGTACTATGTCCCATTTGCAGGCCAAAAAAATGAAAAGGTGAAATTCCAACGGCATTTGAAAGATAATACTAATTTAGAACTTCCCTAAAAAAGTTGGGGCTTGAAAATGTCTTCAAGTGGGAAAATAATGACTGTTGGTTGTCAAAATGAATTAGGAGCTATAGAGCCAATAAGAAATAGTTTCGATTTTCAGACCATCGTACCGAATAGTCATGCGTTTTATGCTGCGCAAAGATTCAATCAGTTTAATTTTGGCCATCACAAGAAGTGGGTTATTGATGTAGACAAATGCTCATGTACCCTCTACAGCTCATTATATTATGTTATTACCAAAGAAGAAAAAAAGCCAGTCAGTCACTCAATAGTGTCTAACAGTGAAGTCTAGCAAGTAAACAGGTTTTCTAGCATAATTTGAATATTAGGACACTGCTACGTTTAAATTTCACAGATAGGACACACATGACATATTCATAATTCCTGCAAAGTTCTACAGAATTTGATGTTGGCTGCAAAAGGGACATAGTACCTTTAAGGAGATGCATTCATGTAATTATAAATCAACTTTTTTTTCTTTCATTTCCAATTGAAATAATAGAGATGTTACATACTACAATACATACATGTACATTGTACATGAATCATATCTTTGAGGAAGGTCTTTCCCCCTATAAACCTATACTGCATGTCTTTTTTTTCCTCCAAGCCAAATAAGAATGACATTGATTCATTCAATATTTCTCTGCTGATTCAGCAACTAGTCATCACTCATATAATACAATTTGGTGATTCTCATCAATTTTCATTTTGGTAAGCACCTATTGTGACATTTATACCATGAAATGCATTCCTTGCATATTGTTGATGTGGACATAATGTGAATATCATTCATACAGTGTATGTATATTACATTTGTATCGCAGCTCATGTTTGTGTAATGCACACAATGAAAAAATTTATGAAATGATTTCAGTCTGTTCCTTCAAATTAACATGTAAAATTGAACTTTGGGTAGTTTAATGGTACAATGTACAAAGTGCATGGGTGTATTACACCAAAAATAATTGAAAGCAAATATTTGCAGACTTTCTTTAATTGCATGTACCTGCATGTACATATACGGTATTAGATGTTATGGATTTTAACAAAAAGACGATTTCATGGCAAGAAACCACCACAAATCACCACAAAATGCAAAAGAGAAGGAAGAAGAAGTAAGAAAAAATCTGGTGACTCATTTGTCTGTTTTTCTGGATATTACAGTCTCAGCAACCCTGGATAGTTTTCAAATGAAGAAGTCCATTCTAAATTTTTAATTTTTTTTTTATTGGGCGCTTTAAAGGAGACCAATCTCCCAAAATTGTATTTGTTTTGTTTGTAGCTGTTATGATTATTATTAATATTTTTTAATATAAGTCACTTTTACTGTCATTTAGAGGGTATTTAAACTTCTTGCACAATTTCTCTGTGCAGTAGAAATATCTGATCTTCAATTACATTTCTTTTATTTTCAAGAGAAAATGAACTTTAGGTCATTGGTCCGGGTGGTCCCCCTTAGACTTTATGGTCAAAAAGCTTGAGGAAGATGTATACAAATAATGTTTGTTGTTTGAAAGGAGGATGAAACGGTCTGTTATATTACTTGGATCTGTTGAGAGACTGCCAAAACCACAACAATCAGAGTCCAAAACAAGGAACTGGATATGATTTTGTAACGACCCATTGAAAGGACTATAGTTGAGGTCAATCATACTGCCATTGGAAGTAGTTGTGGTTAGGAATGAATGTGATACTGTACAGTATGCATACAGACTACATGGAAGTCTTTTAAAAGATTGTATGTTTACATTGTATGCTTCTTGTGCTTACAGTAGGTCTAATCAATGCTTCTTTAACTTCTTTAAATTATATTGATTATTGCTGTTTAGTGTTTATATCTTTTTCATAGTGAGAAAACTGTAGATATGTGTTTAGCCCTTGCAAAATCACTTTTTCATGATGGCAGTCAGTGGAAGCTACATGTAAATTATGTAATACGCAAATTTTGAAGACGCTTACATGTAGTAGTGGTAGTGGGCTATCATGGGGAATTTGACACCATTCAGGTGTTCACCCAATAATAACAGGTGTTGTCAATCACCAGGATTAGCCTTCATTTTTTTGACAGACCTTATGTTCTCTGCATTTTCCATGCATCCCCCCATATGGAAAATGGCACATGGAAAATGGAGACCCTCTCCCTTTAACTTTGAAAAAAGTAGGGGAAAATATCCAAAGTAAACTTTTTTTTAATGTACATGTACATATACATGTAGGTTTCTTTATAGAATACACATTATATTTATAAGCGGTAAACTTTAACATATTTTTGTGTTTCAGCTTTCCGAAGCAAGAGAATACAGGAGTTTTTGTGATCCCTACAAGCAGCTGGTCCCATATCACTGATAATGATAACATTAATGATACCAGTAAAAAATGACAATAACTCTATAAAATCAGTGTGCTGGTGTTCATGTACTGAAGGTTTCTGATCCGTCAGTGCAGAAGGCTCATTATTAAAGAGAGTGACCAACTCTGACATCCAATATACCTTTACCACATTAATATCAAGGAGATTGATAGCCTGCCTGTACAGTCTATAGTGTACATGTAGGGAATGGAACTGGTTTGACGAAATGTTGTATATTCAAAAGAATCTTCATGTAGCGTACATGTAAGGGGCATACAGACTAGAACATCATATAAAGAAACTAGTTTTAAAGCGTATCTGCCATAGTTTACAGGAGGGATTAGACTGCCCTGCAAGGTCACTGGACAGGTGGTTATCTCATCAACTCAGCTCTCAGTTAACATAAGAAAAAGAGGATCATGGGGGACCAATGGTCACCGATTAGGCATGGTTTGTTATATAGAGGGCGCAAGTAGCTACAAGTAGTGTAGTGGGCCTTTAAAGAGGTCAATTGACATACTGTAACACCCGGCCAGTCATCAGTACGCACTCACGATAAGCTCCGCCCAGTTATACAATTTTCATACGACACAATGTTCAGACTACAAAGTTTTTCATTCAAAACAAAGCTCAAACATGCGTTTCACTATTCAATTCAATTAGCTAAATTCAATTCAATTCAAAGTTTATTCAACACTCTTCATAAAAACATTTAAAACATACAAATACAGAATGAAATGATAACAAAAAAAAAGAACAAGAAAGTAACAAAATTACAATGTCAATTTTAGCTATGCACTGTTTTGTTGTGTGATGTTTCTCTGTGTGATGTTTCTTTGTATACGATGAAGTAAGTTTGTCTCAACTCTCAATGCATGATTATTTTGTAGTTATTGTTATTAGTATGTTAATATGGGATCAGCCCTTTTTAAAAAAGATTATGTAATGGCTTTCAAACTTTCAAAAGTGCTGATCATGTTACAAAGTTATTTAAGCATTTTACACAGTTTAAGCAGACAGTATCTCTGCAACACAATTCTTACAGTATACCATGCCAAATTTATTTCAACAAATCATTATAATATTTGTCCTTTTTATCTTCCTATCTCTCGTCCAGGCAAGAAATAAACATAATGGAGTCACAGTAGCAGCAAAGATCATTGAAATCAAAGAACACGATGACCTAAATGATTTCCGGGTGGAGATCGACATCCTGACAGAATGCAAGCATCCAAATATTGTCGGTCTGGAGGAGACGTTTCTCCATCAGTCCAAATTATGGGTAAGTTATTGGTTTTGATGGTCTTTGAGAAAGAATGAAAACAGAAAAAGGGGTTTAAAAACATGGGGAGGGGGAGTGGTGGTTGGGGGGGGGGGGCACTTGACCTCCTCCTACATGTATATACCCTCCCCCAATGATTTGAGACTGGAGATTGACTTTCTGATGGAATTCAAGTATCCAAATATTATCGTTCTGGAGGAGATGTTTCTCCATCAGTTAAAATTATGGATAAAGTGGTTTTGATCTTGGAGAAAAATGAAGGTTCTTTCAGAAGAGGAGCCAACTTGCATCAAGTTGGCTTGACTAGTTTAAATAATGATAGAATTAGAAATAGATAACCAAAAGCTTTGAAACAAATGTGATGTATTAGCGATCAGGGAGTGATAAAGTTTCAAAGTAGCGATTGATCAAACACAAACCTGCGATTATGAGTCGGGTACTATTTTTCTTACCCTGTGTCTCTACACACAACAAATTCACAGTTTTTGGATAGCCATATGATGAAATTGTGTGTGTGTATGGCGCTTAAGAATACTTAACAATGAAGTACCAGATATTCTGTCTACTAAAGTCATTTTGAAAGAAAGTAATTATAACCTTAGAAACAGGGAATGTACTTAATAAACATACCTAAACCTAACACTGATTTTCTAAGAAGCAGTACTCTTTATATCCCATCTCGGCTATTCAATCACCTACCCCATTGCACCAGAAAAGAAACTCAGCTTTCAAACTTTATAAAGGCTATCGTTAGTATTTTTCCCCCTACGTTCTAATTGTTATTGTCTATCTTTTTCTCTGTCTCTCTCCCTCTTTCTCTCTCTCTCTTTCTCTCTCTCTCTCTCTCTCTCTTTCCCTCTCTCCATCTCTTGCTTGCTCGTTTACTCAATCTACCTCTGATGATTTTTTTTATAAGGAGCTTGTGATTTGACTGAATTGTATTTTTTCCTCATAATTTCTGATATTTAAAATACTAAGTGTGATTGTTATCAAGAGTTATTTACACACTTGTATTCTTGTTATCTTAATTTGTATCATGAATCATATTTGTTTTGTTCATATATATTGTGAGTTTATTGTGTGAATATTTTTAAGGGACTTGTTGAAAAAGAAATAAATTGACATCAATAGACTTTTGAATATAAAATAAATGGCAGAAGGCTAACTAGATAAATCACAGAGTTTGGGAAATTGTTCAACTTTCAAATTTCTCATAACTTTTGTTTTCCATTTTCTTCCTGAGTATAAAAAAAACAGTATGATCTGCAAGTGTTCAGGCATATTGAAATCTTTGAGATTAAGAAAATCCACTTCTGGAGGCTGTAACATTGAACTCATTAAGCTAGAGCCTGATGCTGTAGTATACATATATATGATAAAGATTGATGTATGTTGTTGTTGTTGATCTTGCACCTGTAGATGATGCTGGAGTTCTGCGAGGGTGGTGCCCTGGACGATATAGTCCTGGAGGTGGAGAAGCCGTTGACGGAGGCACAGATCAAAGTCGTTTGCAGGCAAACACTGGAAGCTCTTGTATACCTCCATGAACATAACATCATACACAGAGATCTCAAGGCGGGAAACATTCTACTCAAAATGGATGGCAATGTCAGATTAGGTAAGATAGTTAATTTAATTTAATTTAATTTAATTAAGGAACTTTACATAACTATCTTGATCTAAGGAGACACGAACGAACGAGGTAAGATAGTTGCATCAGGGGGGTGTTTCACAAAGATCCTAAGTTGAACTTATCTCAAACTTGGACTTAAACATTATGGAGAGCCATTTGTAGCCCTAAAATAAAGTATATTCAAATGTGAATATTCAAGTATTTTAGACTTTTTATAAATTCCTCATCAAGAACATGAAATCTCCTTGATAAAAGAAAATAAGAATGATTTTAATCAACATTTTATGCCTTTTAAAATAACTTTTATAATATTTTTTCAAAGATGCTAACAGCTCTCCATAACTGTTAAGTCCAACTTAGAGATAAGTTCAACTTACGATCTTTATGAAACACCCCCAGGTGTCTTTGTTCTCGTCATCTGCTTCATGGTTAACCTCCCTGTCCTGTGGTTCTTCATCAATTCTATACTTTCTAATCTTCTGTCATTAGATCGTAAGTATTCTTATCCTCATATTCCCCATCGTTATCATCATCATCATCATCATCATCATCATCAACCTTAAAAGTATAGACCAGTTTTGGAAACGCCCCCCTTTCAAAAAATGAAATGGAAACTCTTATTAACAATCATGTGAAAAAATATATTCATCTGCATCCCTCCCTTTTGCATCACACAATAACCATTCATTTTTCTGTTGATCACTATCATCTTGATCATGATCTTTATAATTACCACCAATACCCTTGTCAATCATTACCATTTTCATCATCATCAACCCCATCATCATCGTTGTCATCACCATCGCCATCATCCCCATCATCATCTTCATCATTGTCATCATTAACATTAGCATCATTAACCTTGATATTGTCATTGACCATATCATTGATAGCTTCATTATCAGTAATAATATTATTAGTATCATCACAAACATCACCATTGGCGTTGTTGTTGTAGCCGTTGTCGTCGTCTTCGTCGTCATCATCATCATCTTCTTCACCATCCCCATTTTTACCACAATATTTCTTAATCATTATTTTCATCTGGAAGAACATGATTACCCAGTATTTTCTTTAGCCCTTTTTACACTTAGGAAAATTTAAGTTTCCCTGCTACAATGTACACTCCATGTCTATCAGTTCAGATCATTTACCCCCATGTTGTCATAAGGACTGAAATATTTGATGGAACATCTTTTTAACATCTTTTCATACATATAGATCTGCTAATCATACGATTAATATCAACTACAGGTTAATCAAGTTCAGCACCCTACGGCTTCCTCTAATGCACTTTTTGTCATGTATTGTACTGTGAATCCAAATATGTACATGCATGCAATTGTCCTGTATGGACTTGATTATTGCTTCCCACCCCATTTTTTAATGAAAATTAGGGCTCGGTCTATTTCCCTGCTATTCCTTTGTGCCCAGTTTTAATAAGGACCAGCATCGATGGGTCTTAATAATGGTCTTTTGATGAAGTGGAGTCTTGGTGTTTGGGTACACACACACAACAGGTGAATGACATACTGGTCCTGCCATTATCATAGCCAAATATGGGTATTTTTATAGCAGATCACCATGGTATGGTACATTGCTTTGGAACATGGACCAAACAAAAGGTCCATGTTTGGAACATGTCGTCATCTCTTTTCCAAACAGAAATTGAATCAGCACTTCATATTGCCTTGATACCCTTAGGTGCAACAACAAATTTGTAGCTAATTAGGACAACCTGCAATGCAATGTGTAAGGAGAGTTTAACGAAGCAAGAAAGAAAGTAAATATGATCAGAGATAATGAAAATGTTCAAGGGGATTTTTCTTGTTGTTGTGGTCCTGGATCATTGTCTGCTTGGAGGAGAAAAAAGGCCTGTCTCCATCAGCTCGAGTTTGCCAAATAACCCGCTATTTTCAGACTAGGGATGTTTTCCCAAAGCTCGAAATTGTGTCTTTACCAGACGCTCATCACAAACTAGCTCAGATGGGCGCAAATCAGCCTGCTATTTCCCAAATAGCGGGATATTTTGGAAACAAGCCCCGGATTTCTCGGGAAATTTTCTCGACCAAATATCCCACTATTTGCATCTGCGCAAATTAACTGGCTGATTTGCGATCGGGATAGTTAAAATAGCGGGTCATTTGGCAAACTTGAGCTGATGAGGACTGGCCTATAGATAATTGCTGTGCCCTAAATGTGTGGTCAGTTTGGGACTTGGTTTTTGTCTCCAATTTATCATAATCATGCTGCTCCACTCTATAGAAAGTGCAATCTATCCCCCCCCCCCCTGCCCCCACACAAGCAATTAAGATAAAAGGAATCACCTGTTTGGGGCCAGAGGGGTGTTAACTCTTATACCCTTCTGGCTCTGAACAAACTAATTATAATGAGCAAATATTTCTTCATGGGTAACGATCACAATGTAAAGAAACAGAATATAACTGATAAAGGTGCTTTCAAAATTCATTACTAAATGGATTGATACCGCATACATGTTTTGATGAAATAATGCAAAAATCTGTTGCAGACAAAGAAATGTTGTGGAAACACGTTTCTGATGTTTGCTTTTGTCTTTAAATTTGCATCATGACTAATTTACTATCTTGGAATTGCTGTTTGAAACTTGAAAATATGAAGTTCTATGAAAGACAAGTAGAGTTTCATGTACCGTATTAATCATGCGCATATACACATATCTTTGATTAATACAGTCCTTGAAATGCTTGTCTCCATAATAGGCAGACAAGCTTAAAGCCCAACTGAACTACTTGTAGCTACTTGCTCCCTCTATATAGAAAACAATGCATAATTTGTGACCATTGGTCCCCCATGATCCTCTTTTTCTTATGTTACTTGAGAGCTGAGTTGATGAGACATGTCAGTGACCACCCTGGGTGGTCTAATACCTCTTAGTCAATCTAGTACAGACAGCCTTTAAAGAAGCCACCAGTACGCTAGTACAAGGCTGTGAGAGTGCTCAAAGGTGCAATATGTCACTTATTGTGTATTAATGTCTTTAGGCTTATTCAGAACTTTTAATTTATATCAGTGATGTGATACTCTTCACCTTGTTGATAGAGATCCTTTCTCAAGTCTCATTCACACTGAGGCTATGTGTTTTTAAAGTACCCCATGACATATATCTGTAATTAATTTGTTATATCTGTCTCGACTCATGACAGAATGTCATCTTTCATGTGCCACTTGTCTTGATTTGTATCTACATGTAGTTGTATATGATACTTCAGAAGAAGAAAGAAAGAAAGAAAAAAATTGCTCTATTGCCTTGACTTGAGCTGCACAAATTTAGAACAATCTGCATGATATGTGCAAGGAGAGTTAAATGAAATGGAGAAAAAAAAGTTACAAGAAAAATAGATGGATTCAGATTTCAGAATGCTCGAATTTATTTCCTCTCTTCAAATGTTGGATAGTGTTAGTTTACGTTTATATTCTACCATTGTATTAAAACAGAGAAATTATGACAAAACAAAAAATGTAATCATTATGCTGCACTTTAAGACAATAAACAAATCACTTCAGCATGCTATTGCATGTACATGATTGATAGTTTCTTTCAAAGATAAATGTAAAGCTTGGAAGTTTCACTTTTGTAGTACTCTGAGAAGGACATGAAGTTTCTATGACGTGCTAAATTGCTTATGGAACCCAGCAAACTGCAATTTGCATTTGCCTACAATATACTGTGCACAAGTTGTGGTATCAAGATCTCAAAGAAGTCTAAAAACTCTAATTTTAATCATTTTAAGAGCCAGGAAGAGGGGAGTTTCGATTCTGCAGCCTCTTTTGTTCTATGGCCTTTGGAAACTACAGTTTTCTCTGTATGGTAATTATAATATACTACACGAGTATGTTCTAAGAGGTTATTCTCAAACTCTAAGCAAACTAGTAATTTGATGTTTTGCTGCTGCTTCAGCTGATGTAATTGATGCGCTTTCTAATTCCCTTTAGATTCAGTTCATGTACATGTTATTTATAAGTTAGATATTCTGAAGTGATGAAACAAGTTCATGAAGCTGATTATTATAAGAATTAAATAAAAATGGAAGAATTCATTGTTGGTTCATGACCTGATAATGATAATAATCATATTCTTTGAAAGCTATTTGTTCAGCAGATGTGACACAGGACATGTAAGATACTCCTATCACATACAACAATACTAAACTTTATCTCTTATAACAGACAAAGGCTATTCTTTACATGAAAAACTCTGTATGGACAGAATTACAGAGTCTGATACTTTCCACCATGAGTGTACATTATGTTTCAATATACACCTTTATTGCAATATCAAATCATTTTGTTGTTATCCATAAGATCTCTTTGTCTAGTTAACTTTATGTACACACACGCTTGTGAAAAGTATGAAGTGTACTTACTGTACTAGGCCTGAGTCGGTACAGTCGGTCACACCAATCCCGACCGTCGCCATCGGGTCCCGGTTTTGTTTTTTGGAAACCGACGCTCCGATAAAAACAATGAAATATTTTTACAACAGAAAACTGTCTTCTCTAGCGAAAAGATCTAAAATAACTTACATGCATGTATGTAGCCTCCTGGAAATGTTCTGCATGTTTTTTATTTCTTTAACATAACTTGATTTATATACAACTGTCATGATGATTTATAGAAATTAACATCTGTTTCCCCTTCTTCTGATCCCGCACTTCATCACTTTATGGAATATGAGGCAAATAAATGATTTTTGGTTGCAGTTTGAATGCATCTAATATCAGTTTTGTTTGTTTGAAGTCTTGAAGATGTCCATGATCAAAACTTGAAATAGCACATCACATGATGTAGACACAAACCCTCACATGCACAAGTGGTTACTTTTAAAGATATTGCACATCCACCAAGTGCATTCACATGTCTTGATATACTGCATCCGATGCTCTTCTGAAAGTTTGAGATACCATACTGGACCCGGCAGTATCTTCATCTCGACTGGGGTGATGGTAATAAGGGAGAAGCAGTCCAATATGATTTTTGATAAGATTTTGTCATTCATTTGTATTTCATCTGTAGTAATCCAATAGTTGTCTAATTATGCTTTTGATGTTCATCTTAATGAAGTAATAAGTTTTATTCTTTTCTTTTCTTATTTTTCAGCTGACTTTGGAGTTTCTGCCAAGAATACATCTCCCCTGCAGAGAAGGGATTCTTTCATCGGTACACCCTATTGGTAAGAGTCTTAAAATTAAGTACAGTCAAACCTGTTTATAGTGACCGCCCACGGGAAACACAAAAAGTGGTCTTTGTAGACAAGTTCCTTTAGTTCACGTTTCAATGAGGAACCATTTTCAAGGGAAACAAAAAATGTGGTCGTTGTAGACAGGTGGTAACTACAGCAGGTTTGACTGTAGTATTGTTTTCATATTGTATGTTGGGGTTATTGAGCAAGTCTGCAGCGAATGCTACTGACTTGGAACTGCACGTTCTGTAAAACTTTTGGGAATTATTAACCCTTTTGAGACGACCATTCCACATTTTGGGTTTGACTGGATACATTTTTATTCTAGGGCACTGAAAATATGCCACAAGCATGGGTAGAAAAGGCAAAAATGTCTGCACTCACTGCATCCATTTTTGTCACATGACTATATTGCATTTGATGTCAGGAATTTTAAAAAGGAAAATAGCTACAAAATCCTTAAGTTGGCAACATGTTGAGAGATTCAAAATTATTGTTTTCAATCAATTTGGCAATTAAAAAAAAAAAATGACCCCATTTTTGCTCATTTATGTTGTTTTCAGAGACATTACATTTTATTTCAACAATGTAGCAAAACTACTAATTAAAGAAAACTTTTTTTGTTGCCAATTTGAAGAACAATATGTGATAAATTCATCTCTAAAATAAATTCTGATCTGAAAGGGTCAAGGATGGCTGTTTTTATATTTCCTCTCAGTTGTGATTCCTGAATCTTAACCACCCGCACAATTATGGAATGTTTTATGCTCGTGGAAGTTGTTGGTTTTGCAGTACAAGAAAGAAAGCGTGTGTATATGACGATCAGTATAGAAATGAAATATATAATTGCATGTCAGCCTTTAATCTTCCGATACTTTATTTCCTTTATAATTTCATAGAAGCTTGAAAAATCTGAACACCATGAAGACTGAAAAAAGAAAAGAAAATCCCCTCTCACTTTCAATTTCAGTGTTTGTGGTTGTGGCCGTTGATTCAGTGAAAAAAAAACTGTTTTTCGCATAGAAATGAATAGGTTATTTAATACTGCACCTCATGTCTAGTCAAACAAAATTAATTGAACAGCAATCCGTAAAAACGTTTATTTATATAGTTATTTAAAAAAAGATTAGTCTGAATGTTGATGAAAAATGCTTGTTTGAGCATTATTTTTTATTATAGGACAATTCTTATTTTCTTTACACATTGTTTCTATCCAGTTTGAATACCTCTTTCACAATACAATGATTCTTTAAAGTTTAAATGTTCTTTATACGATACGTTCGTGTTAGTCTGAACAGGCCATAAAAGACCACAGGATAATATGCATTAGAGCCTTCCTATGGTCTGGCTTACAAACCACTGAGAGAGTTTGATTTATTGGTCAAGGGAATGGGAACCCCATTCTTTTTCGTTTGGGGGGGGGGGGGGCACTAGCTCTTCATATTTTCAACACACAATTTTACTGTGAAGAAGGAGAATTTAGGGATTTGGAGGCAGGTCAAATTTTTTCAGTTTTAATTGGGTTCAACTACTTTGCATGTACCCTTGTTTGAGCAAAGAGAACTTTTTAGTTAAAAAGTTGTAGTTTATAGTTGATGAAAGATTGCAAGAGAAATTCATGGACATTTACATGTATGTTCACTATTCCTAATATCTGTATGACCAAAGAAATTGCAAGGATGTTTAAATTATATGTACCGGTACATGTTTTTCAACATTTCTAATTATGCCAAATTCGTAAAGCTGAATTGGAACTCGGTTTATCAACAGAAAGCGATCTGCTTGTGATGTTTTTGTGGGGAACCATCTGGCATTAGCATCTAGTAAATTAAATGGACCACTGTTTATCACCCAAAAGTGAGAAAGTGAACTGTTTATCAAAGTTTGCAAGCTTTCTATGATGACTAACATGTAGTGTTGGCAATCGGAGGGTTAATCGTAGCACAGTTTATCAACAGAAAGTGATCTGCTCGTAAGTGTCCAACTTATGCAGAGGACCGTAACCCGGGCTCCTGTAATCAGTATAAGCATCATTGTCGCCATAGCAACCCCCTAATTTATGCCCCTCTCGTTGAGGATGGTGTTTCATTGTCTGGATTTAGTGGAATCGGACTCCTCGATCCTCTCTTACTGCAGACTATTTTTCTCTCTTTCCTTTTAAGGAGATGATTAGTTTGGCTAGCGTCGGAGAGGCGTTCACATGATATGATTGGTCAACGGCGTATCAGGATTATTGTGAAAAGGGGAGGGGAGGGGGGAGGGGCACATGTCTTAAGGTCTGATAGTCCCATCCCCGACCATTCTCCCCAAATTTTGTTTTTTCCCTCTTTGTAGTTTAGCTATGCCAAATATAGTTTTGCTAGGGTAAAGGCCCAAAGGGCCCTCCCCCACCTTTCTCCAAGTTGGTTTCGCAAGAGTAAGGAACCCATCCCTGCCCCAAGATAAACATTTGCTTTCTTCTGTAATGTGCTATGCCAAGTTGGGTTTCACTAAGAGATGCTAAGAGATTGGGCTAAATATCTCCCATGACCCCCCTCGCCTAACACTACGCAAGCTTGTATTTTTTTTTTTAAACTGATGGTAGTACCGAGCACTGGGCTCTCAATGCTGAAATAACTTTGAATGTTTGAAAAAATGTGTTTGTATGATAATACTTCTACTTCCACTTCTACTACTGTCATGTATAATGTCACTTCTTTTATTTCTGTTATACATGTTATACATCCACATCCACATCCACTGCTTCTACTTATTTTGCTATTACTTACTTTGATTAAGATAATCACTACTATTCTAATTTTTGCTCCTTTCATACTAATTCTACTTCTCCTGTCTTCTGAAGTCAATATCGATGAGATTCTAAGAGACAACCTGTAAGCCATTTACGAAGATACACCCTGTACATCACCATTTACATGTACATTTTGTTTTATTTGGTCTGCTCTTTTTTACACTTCATACAGGATGGCCCCTGAAGTCGTCATATGCGAGACGCTAAAGGACAACCCCTATGACTACAAGGCAGATATATGGTCCCTGGGTATCACATTAATAGAGCTGGCTGAGATGGAGCCGCCCTACCACGACCTCAACCCTATGAGGGTACTCATCAAGATCCCCAAGGCCCCACCCCCAAGGCTGCAACAAAAGAAAAGATGGTAAGAAATGGAAACAATCATTAAAGGCATCGTTTAACAATGTTAAAGCTGAGATGCATGGCCCTACGTGTTATCAGTGTCTGTGAAATGATGTAATATTGAAGCAAAAAAAAAATGGCGCTTCAAAATGATCCTGAAGTGCCTTAAAAAAGTAAAAAAATCTTTGAGTGACCAGTTTTGCCATACCGTAAATCTCCGTGTATAAGGCGCACTGTTTTGCCGCCAAAAAAAATTGAAATTGAAAAAAATATAGGAACATCTGCTATCATGGCTTCAAAAAGTCATGACACCCAGGTTGCGGGATGTTTTTTAGTTTCGATTTATGGCGCTATGCCTTGCAATGTCTCCCAGCTCAGTAATCGATGTGTTGACTCACCACTCAGAAACTAGAACAACACTCAAATTTGTCTGTCATCTTGGTTTGAAAGTAATCTTTCTAATAGATCTCAAAATGTAGTTTATAATAATAATTCCTCCAATTTTGCTTTGGCGTACCACAAGGTTTTATCCTAGGTACTCTACTGATTTTAATTTACATTAATGATCTTACACATTCCTTCAACTGCACCTAGATGTTAAATGAAAAATAGGGGTGTGCCTCATACACAGGTGCGCCTTATACATGGAGATTTACGGTACTCATTTTCCCCAGTAGACTGTAGTGTTATAAAAACTGTTATCAAAACAAAAAATGAATTTTTCGATTTCCGATCATAAATATCTTGATAATGAGACAGGCGATCGGCTTGTAAAAGTCATGAAATTCCTGACTGACTTGAAGGTTTATAATTATGATAGCATGAGGTAAATCCAGGATTTTGTTTCAGAATCTGAGACAATGTTACCCAATCCCTTTAAGGTTCATTCACATATGAAGCAGGTATCCACCAAAGTTTTACTACAGTGTTTTTTACTAATTTTTTTACTTTTATGAAATGAATGGTAACCGGAGATGCAAGAGAGGTATCTGCGTGCAACAAAGCTCCTTCATTATACTCACAATATATATATGTGTTATAAGATTTTAAAATGTGAAGCATGAAATACTCGTCTCATTTTGAAGAAGAAAACAAAAAAATGCTGCAGTTTATAGAGTCATTTGTGAACAAGCCTTCTAACACTTTTACATAATTTTCTGAAATTTTTAAAATACTGGGAATTTTTGCCAGTACTACCAGCAACTATGGGATCAGCCCTTGAATCTAACTACATCCTTTGTTATAATTACCATTGGTTAATTTCTTATTTCACATTATTTTTTAAACTTATGATTCATTACTCACAAGTTATACAAATTTGTGTTTCATTGGTGAAATTGTAAAAAATTGTATCCGTTCATGGGTGTGTAATAATATGTCTGTTGACATTTATTCATTCTAGATTTAAGAAATCCATTCTCCCACAAATTCCAGAGATTTATGGTGGTTAATATCAAATTAAACGCCCATCATTCAACAATAAATAATGTCTCTTTTGATAACCCGAACAATAAAACCATTCCAGGACATTTGTAGTGTTAGAAAACAGGAAATAGATTTACCCAATAATTCAGACAGCAATTGTCAACCCACTTTTAAAAAGGCTGGCAGTTGTTAACCACAAGGGGGCGCTACACCTGAATCCATAGATAGAACAATACCAAAATGGAGAGAGAATGCTGGCATGATTTCGATCGTACGCGTTGTCAGAGCATGTCCTTCATATTGTGAAGCAGAACTTGTCTGCTGAGAGCCAGAAGGGTATTAAAGGTATAGACTAGTTTTGAAACGCCCCTCTCTCAAAAAATGAAACGGAAGCTCTTATTACCAATCGTGTGAAAGAATATGTTTTGACTAAGAAGAGATGATACACATTTTGCCGGGAAGCTGCCTACTAATTGATATATTTGGTTAATTAATATATCTATCCGGACTGGATAGATATAGGGTAGTCCCATATACATCTTTCTGTGTACAGTGCTTGTAACTTTACCAAGGCTGGGCCAAATTTCTTATCATTTTGATGATTCCAGAACCTTACAGTACACACCAATACTTATATGCTACATGATCAACCTTTTGTGATCAATGTTTCTTTCACAATGCAATCGCATGACCAGAACTGGTCTTTATCTTAAACTCATAAACTCAACCTTTTTTGGTCTAAATATAGAGCCAAATCCCTTCTTTATACTCTCAACAGACAAAACGCTCAAAGGGCTTTGATTCGTACCCAGCCGGGATACCCATTATTGTCCAATTCTTTACTGCATGAGGAATTTCCAGGCACTATTGTCCCTATTAGGGCAAATTTGTGTATTTCTAAAGTCTCTCGTGTGTGTTTTTTCACCCTTATTTTGGATATGTTAACATGATTGAAGAAATACAGGTGAATTTTTCACTTGATGGGGCATGCAAACAAAATAATTTTTGTCAGGAATTTTAGGAATTCATGTTCATTGAAACCAACAAAGATTAATCCTGAATCCCTTTCATAGATCATAGTGAATATGAGTGAAAACAACCTACATGTAGAGGTTTAAAGGTAAAGACCAGTATTGGAAACGCCCCAATTTCAAAAAATGAAATGGAAGCTCTATTACCAATCATGTGAAAGAATATGTTTCGACTAATACATGATAAAAATTTTGCCGGGAAACCGCCTACTAATTGATATATTTGGTAAATTAGTTTAGCTACATGGTCTGTGAGAGATAAACGCACGTGTCGTGCACGTGTGCGTAGTCCCATATACATCTTTCTGTGTACAGTGCTTGTAACTTTACGAAGACTGGGCCAAATTTCTTATCATTTTGATGATTCCAGAACCTTGCAGTTCACACCAATACTTATATGCTAGATGATCAACCGTTTCTTTCACAATGCAATCGCATGACCATAACTGGTCTTTACCTTTAATATGAAATTCGTAAAGTTCATGATTTCCATGTCACAAATGGTTCAGGTCAATTTGAGGTTTGTGATAAACAATTATTTGTGATGTCATCAACATATTTTCTCCCTTCTACATATGTCATCAACTCTCTTTTTTACTCTCAAACATTTACCAGGAGATAGGTATACACTTACAGTAGTTGTAGGTCAAATTTCCTCTTTATCTAAATGAAGTAAAATCTGTACTCCTAGTTTTTCCTACCATGGTCATATCGCTTCAAACAAAATTTCATGATCAACTTCAAAACTGTTACTTGGTACCAGAACTTCCACCTATTTTTTGTTCTTCATTTACAGTATTTTAGAACTCTTTTTTGTCAGGTAACAAAAAACAATGTTTATCTCTTCATACATGTAGGATAATCATCAAATGTTAGAAGTGAGCGTTAGATGTCTGGGACTCTAAGGTCTTTTGCCCCTGGATAGCTGATTAACATATGTCATTGTCTGTTTGAGCCAGAAGGGCATAACTCTGTATTAATGTGTATGAGTTAACACTTTCCTCTCTCCAAACATACAAAATATGAAATTTAGAGGCAGTCTATAGACTTTGTGCAAACTTAATGTATTTAATGCTGTCTTCATTCGATATGGGACGTTGCATGAGCAATACGAGAGAGATAATCTACTAGACCAAAACATATCTTTCGTTTGGAGGGTCCAGTACATGTACGCTTGGAACAACCATTCTTTGACAAATACTGAATTATGCATAGAGAGTACTGTGTGTTTGCGTCTTGCGTTGACTGATCCCAAATGACCTTTATTGCAATGTTTATCCCCAGCTTTCATCCCTGTTTGAATTGACTTGGCAAACTTTGTTTCATGCACCAAGTGCAGCTGATGTCATTCTAGTGCTTCAATCAACACTCTCTCCCTCTCTCATACTCTCCCTCTCTCATACCCTCCCTCTCTCTTACCCTCCCTCTCTCTTCCCCTCTCTCTCTCTCTTCCCTCTCTCTTCTCTCTTCCCTCTCTCCCTCCCACTCTCTCTTTTTGAAAGCCAATCTCTCTCTCTTTCTTTTAAATACTCAGCTGCCATTTATATTTCGCTCTGTTTCTTTCTCTTTCTCTCACCCTATCTCTTTCTCGGTATATCTTGTCCTTACAGTCTGTCTGTCTGTTTGTACGTCTGCCCCCCCCCCCATGTACATGTATATGCTTATTACAATCCCTAAACTCCTTTTCCATGTATCATGGTCCTCTTCTAATTACAGTATGTCGCTGTCTCTACTCGGTTTGCGTTTCTCTCTCTTCTGTTGATTCTGTCACGATCCTTTTCGCCTCTTCCCCCTGTCTCTCCCTCTGGGTGGAACAATGCCACATTTGATTTGTGTGGACACCCCATATTTGTGAGGTAGTGCTCCCTCTCTAGATGACTTATTGCACGAATCGTAGATTAGAATAGTGAGAAAGTTAGACAAGTTTCTTGACAGATTAGTTAAATGAAGAAATGGCAGAGGGGAGAGAGGCAACAGCAGATATAATTCTGTACTTTTAATTATTATTATTGTTTATTTTTTTATTTCTTTTTGTATTTGATGAATAATGTGCTATTCCATATATATATATATATATATATATATATATATATATATAATAATAATAATACATAAGATTTATAAGGCGCCAAATCCACTTGACAGTCAAATGCTCAAGGCGCAGCTTGTGCAAGAGATGAAATACATACCTGATACATTTATTCAAAGTGCGATAGGAAAGGTACAGACATGAAAGGTTATGGTAATTAATTATAAGCTAAATTAAACAGATATTTCTTCAGATTGTTTTTTAACACTTCAGCAGAACTGCTATTTTTAATCCATTGAGGGAGAGTATTCCATAACGAAGGCCCAGCATGAGCGAAGGTTCGCTCCCCCCACTTTTTTTTAACCCTAGGAGTAACAAGTAAGCCAGAGTTTTGAGAACGTAGCTGTCTAGAAGGAAAGTAATGCTTAATCAAGCCGATGTTTTAATTTTAATTATTATTATTGTTTATTTTTTTATTAGGTGGTCTGTTGAAAACAGATCACCTATTGTTTTCGTCAGAATTTTCTTTCTTTATTA